AGAGGGCATCATATGTGTGTGAGTTGCTCTGCAGTTTTCAAAGCACACAAACCTCATAATAACATCTCACCCAGACCACACTGCTGTGCAGTGGAGGGGCAAGGAGCATTATTCCCAACTTGTACATGAGAAAACTAAGGCTCTGAAGAGTTAAAAAGTCACTTAGCCAAGCTATAAAGTCAAGTGTGAGAGAAAGAACATGGGCCTTGGTATAACAAAGACCGCTAGACAATGAAAAAGGAAGACAGAAGAAGAACTGATGCATTCAGATTGGGGTGTTGAAGAATATCGAATATACCACAGCCTCCAGAAGAGGAGCAGATCAGTCTCAGAAGGAATACAAGAATACTCTTTAGAAGTGAGGACGGTGAGACTTCATCTTGCTTACTTTGGACACATCATCAGATAACTCATAGCTAGAAAAGGACATCATGTTTGGGAAGGTAGAGGGCCAACAAAAACGACGGAAAAGCTCAGTGAGATGGATTGGCATAATAATTGCAACAATGGACTCAAACACACCAACGATCATGAAGATTGCATAGGACCAGGCAACATTTCATTGTGTTGTACATAAGGTCGCCATGAGTCGGAGCCGACTCGATGACAGCTAACGATACAAAATCGTCTAACGTTGGGATTGCGATACCTTTCGAGCTGGGGTTCCTCCCTGCTTCACATGAGCACTGTTGTCTCTGTGTAAACCTGGTGACTTAGAGAGGGAAGCTAAGAGGACAAGAGTTGACGTGTTGTTGCTGCTTGCATCATCTGTGCCCAAGAACCTTACAACATCCTAAGCATGGACACGTCTGTGTGTCGTTAACTTGATGCTAATTCTTGCCTGATGACACAAGTCATGATTTGCAAGCATCCTCTGTCTTCATAGCCACCTGCTGTCTGAGAATGGCCGTCTATTTACAACTTTAAAAAATAGACGATGCTGACATGGGTAAACTAGGCTTGGAGTATGAAGAGCTTGCAATGCCTTGGCAAGGAGCTTGAACTTCGTCATGACTGCTTCCTGCCTGCCCCCCCACCCTACTAGTACCCAGGTTTCACCCATATAGGGTGAGTCCTCTTGATTTCCTGGGGGCCGTGGTAGTTCAGTGGTACAATTGTCGCCTTCCACGCAAGAGACCTGGGTTTGATTCCCAGGCAATGCACCTCATGAGCAGTCATCACCCATCTGCCAGTGGAGGCTTGCATGTTGCTATGATGCTGAACGAGTGTCAGAGGAGCTTCCTGACTAAGAGGGACTAGGAAGAAAGGTCTGGCAATCTATTTCCTAAAATCAGCCAATGAAAGCCCTATGGATCACCACAGTCTGATCATGGGGGTGGCGCAGTACCCGGGCAGCATTTTGTTCTATTGTGCGTGGGGTCGCCGTGACTCAACGGCAGCTAACAGCAAAAACAGATATAGAAATATGAGATTTTAAAGAAGGTTCTTTGTCATGGAGGCTAAAGGAGAAAGTTGTCAACAGTATCAAACACTCAAAAAAAAAAAAAAATCAAGAAGAATGACAACAAGGTTGAGCCATTGAGCTGTGTGGCTGGGAACACATTGGCCAGCTTTGGGAGGGTGGTGTCAAGGGGGCTGTGGGATTGGAAGCTGATGGCCCAGCATTTTGGAGGAAACCGGATGTGGAGGCAAGAGTGATCTCAGAGCCAGTACCCCCAGTAGTGTGACCAGCTGTATGTCCTGGTTAAACAGAGGCAGAATTGGGGTGAAGGAATGGGGTAATGGGGTACAGGTTACCCATTTAAAAACATTAGATAGTAAAGGACAAGAGCAGTAGGGTCAAGAGACTATTTTGTTTGTTCTTGTGTTTGCTTAGTGTTTAGGGGGATTAGGGAATATCAGTTTGTCTCCACAACAGAATTATATTGAGGGGTGGAGGGATGGTGAGGAGAATGTTTCTCTGTAACGCATGTGAGGTGCTACCAGATGGTGTCCCAAGTCCTGATAGTAATAGTCACAGCTTCAGGGACTTTCTTATCAAAATAGACATAACATTAACTTCCAAACATGTGACAATCACATAGAATAAACATCAAATGAAAGGCCAAACATCAAAGCAAATTAGGTCACAAATGAGAGTAGCATAAATTGGAGATTTTCTGCCATTTACTAAACAAATCACCACCTCTGTCAGTTTGTTGTACTGTGGTGGCTTGTATGTTGCTGTGATATTAAAAGCTGTTCCACCAGTATTTCAAATAACAGCAGGGTCACCCATGGTGGACAAGTTTCCGCAGAGCTTCCAGACTAAAACAGACTAGGAAGAAAGACCTGGTGATCTACTTCTGAAAATTAGCCAATGAAAGCCTCATGGATCACACAGAACATTGTCTGACTCACTTTCTTTGGACATCTCATCAGGAGGGATCATTCGTTGGAAGAGGACATTATATTTGGTAAAGTAGAGGACCAACACGGGTGAAGGAGACCCTCAGTGAGATGGATTGGCACAATAGCCTCAGTGATGGACTCAAACATGACGGTGATTGTGAGGATGATGCATGACCGGGCAATGCTTCGTCACCACGATTTGGAGTCCACTCAACGGCAGCTAACAGCAACTAAGCAAAAATCAGGGCCTTTTTGTTTATATTGCTGTTGTTAAGTGCCGTCGAGTCAGTTCCAACTCATAGCAACACTATGTACAACAGAACGAAACACTGCCCAGTCATGTGCCATCCTCACAATTGTTGCTATGTTTGAGCCCACTGTTGCAGCCACTGTTGACATCAATCCATCTCTTTGAGGGTCTTCCTCTTTTTCACTGACTCTTTCCTTTACCAAGCATGATGTCGTTCTCCAGGGACTGGTTCCTCCTGATAACATGTCCAAAGTACGTGAGATGAAGTCTCGCCATCCTTGCTTCTAAGGAGCATTCTGGCTGTACTCCTTCCAAGATAGATTTGTTCGTTTTTCTGGCAGTCCATGGTATATTCAATATTCTTGGCCAACACCACAATTCAAAGGCATCAATTCTTCTTCAGTCTTCCTTATTCATTGTCCAGCTTTCGTATGCATATGAGAGATTGAAAATACCATGGCTTGGGTCAGGCACACCTTAGTCCTCAAAGTGACATCTTTACTTTTTAACACTTTAAAGAGGTCTTTTGCAGCAGATTTACCCAATGCAATGGGTCATTTGATTTCTTGACTGCTGCTTCCATGGGTGTTGATTGTCGATCCAAGTAAAATGAAATCCTTGACAACTTCAATATTTTCTCCGTTTATCATGATTTTGCTTATTGGGCCACTCGTGAGGAGTTTTGTTTTCTTTACACTGAGGTGTAATCCATACTGAAGGCTGTAGTCTTTGGTCTTCATCAGTAAGTGATTCAAGTCCTCTTCACTTTTAGCAAGCAAGGTTGTGTCATCTGTATAACACAGGTTGTTAATGAGTCTCCCTCCAATCCTGATGCCACATTCTTCTTCATATAGTCCAGCTTCTTGGATTATTTGCTCAGCATACAGACTGAACAGGTATGGTGAAAGGATACAACCCTGACACACACCTTTCCTGATTTTAAACCATGCAATATCCCCTTGTTCTGTTCAAACGATTACTTCTTGGTCTATGTACAGGTTCCTCATGAGCACAATTAAGTGTTCTGGAATCCCCATTCTTCACAATGTTATCCATAATTTGTTATGATCCACACAGTCGAATGCCTTTGCCTAGTCAACAATACACAGGTAAACATCTTCCTGGTATTCTCTGCTTTCAGCCAAGATCCATCTGACATCAACAATGATAACCGTCGTTCCACATTCTCTTCTGTGTATAGTTGTCTCTAAATCCCAGCCTTGGCTCTGAATTTAACAGAGGGGAGTTCCTTCTTGCTCCCAGCTCATACCTTGTCCAGGGTGGTGGCCGTGATGACACCCATGGTCCTGGCCCTGGTCCCTGCCAGCCCCTCCTGGACGCCTAAGTGATTATTTCCAAGCTCTAACAAAAAAGTGTCTGTGGCCTGAGTTCCTCAATGCCTGCAGAGAGTCAGCCTTTGTTGAAACTCCTGACCATGGCTGACAGACAACTGAATGCATATTGTAAAGGAACTGTTTTCCAGCTACAGGACTGAGTTAAGCTGCAGCAAAAAGGAAACACGTTTGGCTCATTTCCTCTCAGCATGTTTGAAATCACAGGGGAGAGTGATGGAAGGGGCTGGGAGGAAAGGGTCTGTGGTGCAGACCGAGGAGGGGTCAGCTTTACAGACCAGGCAAGACGGCAGTCACCTGAGAGAGTCCGTGGGAAGTGAGGCAGACATGCAGAGGTGAGGCGGGGAGATGTGGACGCTCTCGCTGCCTGGCCTGTGCTGAGACTGAGCTGGGGCTGAGGGATGTGAAGGACACACAGGATTGTGAGAGGGAGCAGCTGGGCCGCATGATGCTCAGCCAGCTCCCAGGATGCCCTGCCTCCAGGTCTCAGAGGAGCAAACCCTGACAGGGTGGGTACAGCCGAGCTGGGGCCTCAAATCACAGCCTGTTAAAGCCTCAGAGGCCTCCGTTCTAATCTGCTGCTTACAAGGGGACTGAGGCCCAGCAGGAAAGTGACTTGCCCAAGACCACACAGAAGGGCCAGAAAAGAACTCAGGCTTCTTCCCTGGGCGTCTCACCCTCAATCCCTTTCTCTCTCACCAGGCTGCCCCCGAGCCTGGGGATGAAGCTTGGGAAGAGTAGCCGAGAGGGCAGCCCTTAGGAAGGTTGTGCAGCGAGATGCTGAGGAAATCCAGGGGGCAGCGAGTCCCAGGACAGAATTGGGGGGTTGGAGGCTGAGGTAAAAAAAGGATAAGAGTGTTTCTTGTGAGGAACACATGAGACAAAGTGCCAGGTGCACAGTAAGTGTCTAAATATCAGCTCCCTTCCCCCAGGTTCTTATGAACCTCACCCAGGAGTTTACAGCTCTGGTGCCTGGCTCCCCATGAGGCACCAGGAAATGACTGCTGAAGGAACAAGTCAACCCATGGCTTCTTTTTTTCCCATAGGAATCTCCTACCAGAGGCTCGTGAGGGCTGAGCAGGGCCTGCCCACTAGGAGACACCGCAGTTCCACTGTGTGAGTGCCCTTGAGGAGGGAGGGAGAAAGGGAGGGAGGGCAGGGGAAGGCGGGGAGGCAGCCTTGTGGGTAGGTGGGGGCTCCCCCACCCTGGCTTTCCCTCCATCACTGCACCTCCTCCCATCCCAGCCACAGCTCTGTTAGTAATCACTATCATGTAACTGGGGGACATTGGTGGTTCAGGGTTAGAATTCTCACCTTCCATGCGGGAGGCTCAAGCTGTGTTCCTGGCCAGTGCACCTCATGCACAGCCACTGCCCAGTCTGTCAGTGGAGGCTTGCGTGTTGCTATGATGCTGAACAGTTTCCAGTGGAGCTTCCAGACTAATATGGACTAGGACGAAAGGCCTGGTGATCTACTTCCGAAAATCAGCCAATGAAAACCCTGTGATCCACAACCAATTATGGGGATGGCGCAGGACCAGGCAGGCGGCATTTTATTCCATTGTGCATGGGTGCTGTGGTTAAGAGTTTGGCTCCTAACCAAAAGTTCAGCAGTTCGAATCTACCAGCCACTCCTTGGAAACCCTGTGGGGCAGTTCTACTCTGTCCTATTGGGTCTCTAGGAGTCGGCATCAACTCAACGGCAGCGGCAGCGGGTTTGGTTTTGGGTTGACAGCAGTTAACAACAACAGCAACACATCAAAATTAACTGCACTTCTACCAGAAAGTTCTTAGCCAGGGTCTATGAACAAATGGGCTTCAGGGGGCCTCAGAAGTCACTGGTAATGTTTTGTGCACAGATTCATTTTTCTGGGCGGAGGGTTCAGATTCTTAAAGGGGTCTGAGACTTTAAAAAAAAAGGCTAACCCCAAAGTACCACCCACCAGGCATTGTGCCAGGTGCTGGGCACACATTATCTCCCTTTATCGCCACTTTTCAGATGAAAAAACTAGAGATCAGAGAGGTCAAGTAACTTCCCCCAAATCACACAGCTAGTAAGTGTCTTACTGGAAAGCCCAGGATCTTTTCATGAGGTCTTTTTGCCTGTTATTAAAACAGTACTTTCCAAACTTTTTTGACTGGGACCTACAATAAGAAAAATACCTTTTACATAATAGCCTGGTATACACACAAACACACACACACAGCAGCTGAAACAATTTTATGAACTGAAACTTACCCTGACCACATAGAATGAGCTCTGTCCTATTCTACTGCATTTAAAAAACAATTCTGGCTGTGACTCCCAAAGTTTATTTCATTGCCCACTAGCGTGTGCGGCCTGCAGTTTGGAAAGCGCTAGAGAGGAGGTCCATTCTGAGGACCCTCAGGCAGCTCTCTGGCCTCCATGGGCTCAGAGATTATAGTCAGCCCCAGTCCCTTTCCCTCCTCAGCCCCAGGGTTTCACATCACACTGCACATCACTGAGCAAATATTCCTTGAGCTCCTTCTAGGTAAATACAAACCCCAAAACACAAAACCTGTGGTTGATTTTGTGAGAGGCAGAAAGGACAAAAAATACTGTGCCTCCTTCCAGTTTAGTGAGTAAGTAAGACACCTCCCAGGGGCAGAGGCAGGCAGATTGGAGAGTAGTCAACACACTTGGGCACTTCTTGAGCTCCAGGCACTGTTCTAAGTACTCATTTAATACTCCATGAGAAAGGTCTTTTTCAGATAAAGAAACTGAGGCAGAGAGAGGTTAGTAGGAAGAGGTGGGGATTGGGAGATCAGCTCGCTTTCACCCATTGACGAAAACCTTCGAGTCCATCCCGACTCCTAGCGATCCTATAAGGACAGAGTAGAACTGCCTCCCAGGGTTTCCAAGGAGTGGATTCGAACTGCCAACTTTTGGTTAGCAGCTGTAGCTCTGCGCCACCAGGGCTCCGGGGCTCTCTTTCAGTGTCTATGAATCAAGAGTGATGGCAGCTTCTTCTGCAGAAAAAACGTGCAAGTCCATGAGGACAGGGACCCCCTGGTCTTCTCCTAGGACGGAGCCTGTACCTAGCACACTTCTGTCCGTCCGTCCATCCATCCATCCATCTGTCCATGGAGAGGATGGATCAGGTGCTCACAAGGGCTAGTGGCACCATAAGGGGTTGCTTCTGCAAGCTCGCCCTCCTTTTCTTACAAATGGAGAAATCAAATGTAGTTTTTCCCAAAATGATGGGTGCTCTGAAAGACACCGGAACAGTCTCTGTGCCCTGGAACCCGGCAGCGCAATGCTGGGACAAAAGTCCACGGAGACTGGAGAAAACGTTACCTGCCATGGTTCTTCTTTGCACTGTGTTTAAAAGTAGTGTGGAGTTGTGTGTGTGCGAGAGAGAGAGAGCATCATTCTTGCTACACTATTTACGGATATAACACTGTGATGGCTCGAATTCGCTTCAGATTCACACAGTGATGGAGGGGGTGGTATGGGGAAGTTAGAAGGGCTATGTGTGGATAACTGTTAACCGGGCGATGGACACTTGGGGGTTCACTGTTCTCTTAGTATTTGGAAAAGGCGCCCTGTGAGCGGAGGAATCAGATGCAGCCCTGACTTGGCACCCCTTCCTCAGGCAGATGCCACCCCATGCCAGGACCCTTGCTGGAGGAGCAGTGTGGGTTGGATTCTGCCCCCACTCACCCAGGCCACAACGTACAGCAGTGTGTGGCTGCCCAGCCCCCTCCAGCCCAAATAAAGATCACCTGACTTAAAATAACCTGTCTGAAACACAGTGCCCACTTTGAGTAATCTTGCATCCTGTAGGAAATATGTTTAAATAAAAATGAAGATGAATTTTGTGTTAAAAAACTAAATTCAGTTTTGAAAAGGTCTTTGAAAACTTGGGCTAAAAAATGTTCAAAAGCAGATGCCAAGCTTTCTCCTGGGAGCTGGGACCCTTGAGCCCCAGGCTCTCCCCTGGCCTCGGGTCACTTCCTCAGGCCCTGCCTGGGCTGTGAGGAGGCCCAGGCCTTGGTGGGGCTGAGCACCAGTGGGCACGAGGCATGGGACCACCCCTCGGGGTGCTGTGCAGCCCTCCCCAGGTGTCCATAGTGCATCCCCTGTGCCCCCAGCACCGTCCTGTTGCTGAACCCAGTGGAGGTGCAGGCCGAGTTCCTTGCCGTGGCCGACAAGCTGAGCACGCCCAGGCACTCGCCCCATAGTGCCTACATCACTCTGCTGCTGCACGCCTTCCAGGCCACGTTTGGGGCCCACTGCGACCTCCCGGGCCTGCACCACAGGCTGCAGGTACATTCTGGGAGCCCTGGGGCCCAGCACTGCCCCCTTGCCTCAGAGCACATCTCCAGAGAGATGCAGCCCCCACTGCTGCACCTCAGTGCCATGGTCTCCAGGGTACACGGGCCTCCCCAGAGGGACATGGTGGGCCAGTGGCTGAAGGCCTGGCCTCATGGAGAGGGTTTTTGTGTGCTGGGTACTGACCAGGACTGGGTGGCACCCTGGGGCTGGGCATCAATGTCTGGTGCTTCAGAAGATGACCTGGGCTGAATGGGATGGGAATGAGCTTTGGACTGAAGCCAGAAATCCTGAGTTCTAGTCCTGCCTCTCTGGTGGGCAGGACAAGTCCCTTGCCCTCTCTGGGCTGTAGTGCTGAACTCTGAAGTCCTTTCTGTGATGACCATTTTCGGGGAATAGGGGGAGCAGGAGGAGGAGACCTGGCCCCCTGGCCATCTGTGGACAGAGGTGGGCAATGAGGCCGGGGGAGGGCTCTGAGTGCTGCTGCTCACAGGGAGACCCTAGGAGCTGGAAAAAGGTGGGCAGCCAGGCTGTGGTATAGGAGCAAACCCTGTCTCCTCCTGGGGTTTCAGTCCAAGACCCTGGAAGAGCTTGAGGACATCTTCATGGAGACCACAGATGCCCAGGAGCTGGCATCTCGCACCAGGGATGCAGCTGAGGCCCGGCAGTGGCTCAGGACCAAGCTGCAGGAGGTGGGAGAACAAGCCGGCTTCCCTGGCATCTTAGGTGAGGCTCTTGGAAGAGTGAGGGTCTGCTTGCTTTCCCCAGCGCTGGTTCTTGCTCCGAAGGCGAGTGGTCCAGGTTTGCCTGGTGGCTGTGCTCCACACAGTCATTCAGGGACTCAGGTTCTTCAACATCTTTTTGCTCTGCAATCCTCTGGGGCATTGCTCCCATCTGCAGAGTTAGGACTGGGTTGCCATCATGTTCCAACTTGCGGGAAGAGGAAAAGAGAGCACTAATTGAGGGCAAGGGGGTTTTGTAAGTTGAAGATAATGCAGAAGTTGCACACATCACTTCTACCAACATCCCTTTGAGCCTCCTTAGTCACATGGCCACACCCAGCTGCAGAGGAGCCTGGGAAACGTTATTTCTACAACTCTATTACCATGGAAGAAGGGAGAACAGATTCCGGGGAACATTTAGCCATCTCCATGAGTTGACATCAACTCAACGGCAATGGTTTTTTGTTTTTTTTTTCCTTAAATCACAATATTGAAGGAGCCCTGGTGGCCCAGTATTTAAGTGTTCGGCTGCTAACTGAAAGGTCGTTGGTTTGAACCCGTCAGTTGCTCCACAGGAGAAAGATGTGGCAGTCTACTTCTGTAAAGATTACAGCCTTGGAAACCCTATGGGGCAGTTCTACTCTGTCCTATAGGATTACTATGAGTCAGAATTGACTCAACTGCAACGGGTTTCATTTGGTTTTATCACAATATTGGAGTCTCTGGGTGGTGCAGATGGTTAATGCACTCGGCTGCTAACTGAAAGGTTGGTGGTTTGAGCCCACCCAGAAGTGCCTTGGAGGAAAGACCTGGCAATCTACTTCTGGAAAAATTAGCCATTGAAAACCCTATGGAGCACAGTTCTACTGTGATGCACATGGGGTCGCCATGAGTTGGAATCGACTCAATGGCATCTGGTGTTGTTGGATCACAATATTCCTCACAAAACCCTTATGACATAGTACCATTATTTTCCCATTCGGACATTGTAAAATGAGACTCAGAGGTTGTGACTTGGCCACATTCACACAGCTAGTGAGGGACATGGCATCTATATGGTGTGTTTGGAAAAAAGGCCTTCTGGCTAGGAGGGAGGCAGCCAGCATCTAACTCAACCTCCACCCATCCGGCCTTGTTGGGTCTTTCCCAACTCTGGCATCTTCTCTACTATAACACAAGGAAATGGAGACCGGACCAGCCTGTCTCAGCCCTCATCTCCTGTCCACCCTGTTCCTACAGACACTGCGAACCCTGGCAAGCTCCACACCATCCCCATCCCTGTGGCCAGGTGCCACACCTACAGCTGGAGCCAGGACAGCTTTGGTAAGGCACTGGGGCCCAGTAGTGCCCCCACCCTGCCCCAGCTCTCTGTCTGCCCCTGGGTCTGTGCCTCCCACCCCCAGAGCTCTCCCACCTGTGCAGGCTCTAGGCTGAGCAGGGGCGGTGCTATGAGTCCAGGCTGGCCTGGCCCTGCTGTCCTGCCCTCCTCCTCGAGTTCTGTCTGAACCTGTCACCCTCGGAAGGGTGAGCAAGAGGAGGATGGAGGCCTAGACACCCACATGGTGCCTCCCCTGGCTTCTCTGCAGACATCCTGCAGGAAATCCTGCTCAAGGAACAGGAGCTGCTCCAGCCAGGGGTCCTGGGGGACGATGAGGAGGAGCAAGAAGAGGAGGACTTGGACACCGACGGGCACTGTGCCGAGAGGGACTCTCTGCTCTCCACCAGCTTGTCGGCCTTGCGAGACTCTGCCCTGTCGCTGGCCTCCTCCCAGGCCTCAGGGCCTGCCTTCTCCAGCCAGTTGCTGACTTCCTTCGTCTCTGGCCTCTCGGACGGCGTGGACAGTGGCTACCTGGAGGACAGCGAGGAGAGCTCCCCCGAGTGGCCCCGGAAGCCCGGCAGCCAGGAGCGCCGGGGCCACCGCAGGCCCGGGCGGAAATTCAACCGGATCTATAAACTCTTCAAGAGCACCAGCCAGCTGATGCTGCGGAGGGACTCGCGGAGCCTGGAGGGCGGCGCGGCTGAAGTCCTCCCGCTGCGGCGGGCGGAGAGCCTCTCCAGCCCCCTAGACTGCCTGGCCCTGCTCCCCACCCGCGCCCAGCGCTCCCGCTCCTTGCCCCAGTCCAAGCTCAGAGCGCAGGTGCCCCGCTGGCTCCTGGCTCCCGCCTCACGCCACCAGCCCCGCCGACCCTTCCTCAGCGGGGACGAGGACCCCAAGGCCTCCACGCTCCGTGTAGTGGTTTTTGGCTCCGATCGGATTTCGGGCAAGGTCGCACGGGCGTATAGCAACCTGCGGTAAGAGCCGAGTAGCTGGCTGTGGTGCTGATGGCCCCTGGGGCCTGAGGCTTAGCGTCTGAGGAGGCTTCCTTCTCACCGTCTTATTCTTGTGCCAGGCGGCTGGAGAATAATTGTCCACTCCTCACCCGGTTCTTCAAGCTGCAGTTCTTCTACGTACCTGTGAAGCGGCGCCATGGGACGGGATCCAGTGCTTCCCCAGCCCCTCCAAGCCAGACGCCCCCAGTCCCCACCGACTCCCCGAGGCACGCCAGCCCTGCAGTATGTCCCAAGCCCAGGACCAAGTGGGGTGGGAAAGTAGAGTGGACATGAGTGGGTTCCAGTTACCTGAAGGGAGCTGGCTGGAAGTCATCAATCATCTGTATTTATGGGGCACCTCCTCCATGCCTAGTCCCTGGGTGCTACAAACGGTTAACAAGCTCAGCTGCTAACCGAGAGGATGGAGGTTCAAATCCATCCAGAGGCACCTCGGAAGAAAGGCCTGGCGATCTATTTCTAAAAAATCAGCCGTTGAAAACCCTATGGAGCACAGTTCTACTCTGACACACATGGGGTCGCCATGAGTCAGAGTTGGCTGGAGGCAACTGGTTTGGTTTTTGGTGTCCTCTCTGCCCGGCCCTGGAGCCCTGGTGTGGTCCCCACCCTGCACTTGGGTGTGATGAATTGCCATATGATATGTACTGAAAGCTGTCAGCCTTTTCCAAGGGCAGGAGAAGCTCAGACTGGGGTGCAGGGGCCACCTAGGCCCTGGGACTGTGCTGGGCGGACTCCTGAGGACCTGGAATGACACTCGCCCTTTGTCCCAGGAGCTGGGCTCGGTCTCCTGGGAGGAGAGCACCAATGACATCTCCCACTACCTCGGCATGCTCGACCCCTGGTATGAGCGCAATGTGCTGGGCCTCATGCACCTACCCCCTGAAGTCCTATGCCAGGTAAGTGAGCCCTGGGGTGGGGGTGGGGCCCACTGGCTGCAGACACCTGCCTCACTTAGAAGGTCTTGGGCTTGGGGAATCCAGCTGGAGGCCCCTGAGGAGGGCCAGGCTCACTTGGAAAAGAGCAGGGAAGGTGGGTGGGGGCAGGGCCAAGTCTGAACCCAGGGCACTGGGCAAGGGCTGGGGCACTTCCTTGACAGGGGAGGGTCCTCAGCAGTGTGCGGGCTGGGTTCTGCGGAACTTAGGCTTCAGCCCCCTTTCTCAACTCCCTGGAGGCCCACGTCTCAGGTGAGGCAGGGCCGTGGAGGCTGCCTGTCATTCTGTTTCCTGCTTGCATCTGACCATCTCCCTCCCTGGCTCTCTGCCTCTGCACCTCTTTCCTCTCTTTCTGTCTCTCCATTTCCCTGTGTACGGTCTCTGTCTCTGGTACCCCCGCGTCTCTGCCTCTCGTCCTTTCACATTCTTTCTCTCACTCTGCCCACGTGTCCCTCCGGCGCGGGCTCCCCTCCGGTCCGCAGCAGTCTCTGAAGCCTGAATCGCGGCCCCTGGCGGGATGCCCCGCCCAACTGCCCATCCTGGCCGACATGCTGCTCTACTACTGCCGCTTCGCCGCCCGGCCGGTGCTGTTGCAGGTCTACCAGACAGAGGTACGGCCACCCGCCCGCCTGTCCCACGCCGCCGCCTAGCCCAGCACGCGCTGGAGGCCTCAGCGGCCCCCGCAGGTCCCACCCCCACCGCACTCCCAGCAGCTGGCAGCCCTGGGCTGGAGGAGCCTGGTGGGCGGGCCCTTCTCTCGGTTCACACCGATGCACATGCTCTCTCCAGCTGACCTTCAGCACTGGGGAGAAGACCACGGAGATCTTCATCCAGTCCCTGGAGCTGGGGCACTCTGCTGCCACCCGAGCCATCAAGGCTTCGGGTGAGTACCGGGGTGCAGACCAGAAGCAGGGTCCTGGGGAGGCGGGGCCACGGGGAGGCGGGGCCATGGGGAGGCGGGGACACAGGAGGTGGAGTCACGGGAAGCTGGGTCACCCGAACGGTGCAGTCTGTGCGGGGCAGAGGAAGTCAGACGAAGTGAAGGGTCTTTCTGTGTATGGCACAGGTCCTGGCAGTAAGCGGCTGGGTATCGATGACGACCGGGAGGCCGTCCCTCTAACACTACAGATTGTTTACAGCAAGGTAAGAATGACGCAGAGGCCCTGTCCCCTCTGCTGATCCTGCCTGCACCAGAGCATGAGCCCAGAGCCAGATTCTGATGTCCCTGGGCCCTCCCCAGGCTCCCCTGGATGCTTCGGAAGGGAGGGAGTGGACATTCTTCCAGCTGACCGCCTAGGGCTCCCTCCCTCTGCCTTTTCTCACCACCTGAATGTGCTCAGCATCTTCCGTGAAGTGTTGGGGGAGGAGTCTGCTGGGCCTGGCTGGGCAAAGTGGGGCTTGCAGAGGCAACATGAGGGAGAGGTCGGGGTCTCTGGGGCTGTTGTGCCTGGCTGGGTGCATGGGAGGTGGGACCAATGTGAGACAGGGAGTGAGGCGAGCTGTGGCTAGGGGCGGGAGGGGAGCACTTGAACACACCAGAGGGCAGAGTCTCTGAGCGTGTCTTGCCCCAGGTAGAGGCCGAGAGAGGCTTGCCCTCACAGATGGGGAGCCCCCCTTCCTTCTTTTCTTCCTTCTTCCTCCAGCCATTTAAAAGATATTTATTTAGCACCTACTTATGGCGAGCTCACTGCTGGGCAAGAGGAAATAGCAGTGAGCGGGGAAGGCTAGGCCCTCTATTTCACTCTGCTGAAGGAGGAGACAGATGAGAAACAAGTAAGCAATTAAGTGGCCAATTTCAGAGTGGTGTGTGATGACAAGACAATAAACAGCTGATATAGAGATGATGGGGCTACTTTAAATTTGTGGTCAAGGAAGGGAGCAGGAGGGGCCGACCCTCACCGAGTGAGTGCTGACTGTGTGTCAGGTGTTTGTTAGACACCTACTATGTCCAGACGCTCTTCTAGGCACAGGGGTGTTCCCAAGAGTAAGCAAAGATTAAACAGTCCCAAGAGACCTGCTTGCAATCTACAGGGTGGTAGACATTGGTTAGAGGATCCCACAAAATGTAAAATACAACTGTGACAAACAGATGAAGGAGCACACAGGAGTGTGAGGATCCCTGAGGGGTGGATTCAATCCAGTCAGGAAAGATAGAGAAGGCTTCTTTGAAAAGAGACACTGATTTGGTATTGGAAAGAGTTAATTAAGAATAGTTAAGTTAATTAACTGGAAGTTAATTAGCCTAAGAAGAGAGGGATACGCTCTCCAGGCAGGGGAAATAGCATGTGCAAAGGCCCTGTGGTGGGAGGGAGCATCTATGTCAAAAAGCACTGAAAGAAGGCCAGAGTGGCTGGAGCAGAAAATGAGTGAGAACGTGATGATGAGGAGAGGCTAAAGAAATAGGCAGGGCCAGAATACCAAGGGCAATGAGAGGAATTCTGTCTTGTCCTAAGAAAATGGATATCCTTTGAAGGCGTTTAAGCATGGGGTGAGGCTGGTAATGTGTGTGACATGATCACACATGTAGAGGACAGACTGGAGGTGTCCACAAGCGATGCTGGAGGCCAGTTAGGAGGCTGTTGTGGTGGGGAGAAACAAGGGCGGCATGCAGTAGGATGGTGGTGGTGGAGTCAGAAAGAAATGGAGCTGTGTGAGTTATATGGTCAGCAGGCTTGGCTTAGAAAAGGAAGGACCCAAACTCTTGGATTTCAGTCTTCTGCCATTGGCAGTACCATTCACTGAAGTGGGGAACACAGAAAAGGCCCAGGTTTGGTGGGGGAAGATCGTGGTGTTGAATCTGAGGTGCCCGTGAGAGGTGTAAGGAAAGTCAGAATAGGAAGTTGGATGTACGGGCCTGAATTCAGAGGCAAAATATGAAGATGGGTGGATAGGTAGTAATGAAAAAAGAACCTGAACAAGATTCCCTAATGGAAAAAGCCCCGAGTAAAAAGAGCAGAGGACCTAGGAGACAACCTTGAGGACCTTCATCATGTAATGGTGGCCAGGGGATGGTGGCCTGCAGGGCAGAGAAACAGCAGCCACAGAGGTGGTGGGTAACCAGGAGCATGCCATCCTGAAAGCCCGGGAGTTCTGAAACACTGTGGCATGGGTTCCAGCATCATATCAGCACACAAGCCATCGCAGTATGACAGCCTGACAGATGGGTGGTGAATGAAGGTCTGTACAGGCGGTAAAGGGCTCTTGGTGAGGAAGCCCACCCACTTAGCTTAATGAGAACTTCCTAGCGGTGTGCTGACTGTAAGCCGCTCCCTGTGCTGCTGGTCTGGAGCCCCCTCTCTGAAGAGAAGGTATAGGCTCTGGGGCCTTTGGGCTGAGAGCATCAGACTTTGCTGCACTTCCAGGGGGCCATCAGTGGACGGAGTCGCTGGAGCAATATGGAGAAGGTCTGTACCTCTGTCAACCTCAGCAAGGCCTGCCGGAAGCTGGAGGAGCTAGGTGAGTGGGCAGGGCAAAGGGAATGGTGCCAGGGGGCATTTGGAGCCTGGCCTGAGCCATCCTTATCCTTCAGACTCCAACATGGAGGCCCTGACGCTAACCCTGACAGAAGTGGTAAAGAGGCAGAATCCCAAATCCAAGAAGGGCTTCAATCAGGTAAGGGCTTTCCTCCCCTTCCAGCCACACCCTCCTCAGCCCAAGGGCCGAGGGACAGGAGATTTACTGGAGTGTGTGTATGTATGTGTGTTTGTGTGTGTGAGTGTGTGTAAGAGAGAGAGAGCATGTGTGTGGTGGGGTGTCTGAGGGAGAGACTGTATTCTGGGGCAGTGGGTGGGAGAAGATGAGAGGCAGGGTGAAGGGTATGGGTTGTGTACCTGTGTGGAGTGTTGTGAGGAATGGGGGAGGAAGGGGTGCCCTCGTGAGAGCATTTGAGTACATGAAAAGTTTCTGTGGCAGACACTAGGAGAGGCTAAGTCTGAGGCAGAGAGACTGTCAGGGACCCCTGTGCCTCTCACAATGAGGGCAGTGGGGGGTGCAGTCTGTCCTCAGGGCGCACTTCTTCCAGATGCAGGAAAGGGCAGAGGTCAGAGAGGAGGAAGGGTCTGATGGAGGCCTCAGGCCCCCTCCCCCGACCTGGTCCATTACCCTGGAGAGCCGTTGTCCAAATCCCCATCCCTACCCCTAAGACACAGATGGGCAATTCCACAGGAAGGAACTGTAGTGGGCTAGCAGTTGGGTGTCCAGGGCTCTGGGCGCTGACGTGGGACATCCTTCCAGATCAGCATATCACAGATCAAAGTGGACAAGGTTCAGATCATCGGCTCCAACAGCTGCCCCTTTGCAGTGTGTCTGGACCAGGATGAGAGGAAGGTCCTGCAGAGTGTGGTCAGGTAGGAAAGAGGGGTGCCCAGCTCTGCCTCAACGAAGCAGGGCCCCAGGCGAGGGGTCAACATCTGCCCCCTAGAGGCCCACAGGGAGGTGGAGGGATGGTAGGCCTGCCCTTACTCCTGCCCTGCCCCACAGGTGTGAGATCTCACCCTGCTACAAGCCAGAGAAGAGCAGCCTCCGCCCACCACGTCAGAGGCCCCCCTACCCACTGGCCCAGGCTGCACCCGACCTCTGCTCCCTCCTCTGCCTGCCCATCATGACTTTCAGCGGACCTCTGCCCTAGCACTGTCCTGGTGCCAGGCTGGACAGGAAGCCCTGGGGCAGCCTTCCCTGAGCCCCCACTTTCCACCATCCACAGTTGGTGCTGAGGGTCTTGCTCCCTGTGGAGAACTGGGTGGCCCTGTACTGGGCCAGGGTCCTGCTGTGGGCCCTGCAACAGGCAGGGGGCAGGGAGTAAATGGTTTCTGGAGCCTCAGGCTTTGGGGCTCTCCTTGAAAAGAACCTTGCACTGGGGAGAGAGAGGTTTGCCCACACAGCCCCTTAGATTCCTCGAGGTAGATGGAAAGGGATAGGTGGGCTGACCTCCACCCACTAACATGGGCTGGGATTCTTTCTAGAGGAAAGATCTGAGGCTCTGGGGCATGGTTTAGGCCTCCTCTTCCAACTCTTGGCTGGGCCCACCTCTTATTTTGTCAAAGACTTGGGGAACCCTTTGTGTCTTGAATTCTGTCCTCTCTTCCCTAGGACTCAGATGGTAGAAAGTTTGACAAGATTTTTCTTTCCTAATGTTCAATACCTCTTTCTCTCTCACACACATACATGGACGCACACACAGACTGACACATACACACATAATATACACACACACACAGTTTCTCTCTCTCGTGTTCCCTGGGTCTTCTGAAAAACAGCACTAACACTTTACATGTCTACTGTCAGGATCTGGTACAGATTCCCTCTTGAAGCCCTTTCTGGATCTATCTCTTGGGAGAAGGAACAGGCTTAAATTCAGTAGTGGTTCAGTTACTTTCTAGCTAAATGACCAGAAGGAAGTTAATTAGCTCCTTTCCTCAGCACTAAAATGGGGGAAATAAAAATCTCCTTAAATGGTGGAAAAAAGTCCCTAGGTAGCGCAAACTATTTGCACTCGGCTGCTAACTGAGAGGTTAGCAGTTCAAACCTGCTCAATGGCACCACAGAAGAAAGGCCTGGCGATCTGCTTTCATAAAGATTATAGCCAAGAAAACCCTATGGAGCAGTTCTACTCTGTAACACATGGGGTTACCATGGGTCAGAACCCCCTTGACAGCAATAGGTTGGGTTTGATTTTTGGAAAGGGTTGGAAAGGGATTGTCTGCAGAGTACCTAGCCCAGTGCCTAGCTTACAGGAAGGGCTCAGTAAAGATTAGTGGCCTTACCCTCTGAATGCTGGTTCCCTCTGTCTTGGCCACATGATACTCTCATTGTCTCTGGGATGCTCTTCATTCACTCCTTTTCATTTCACTGATGAGGGAGAACCAAGACTGAGGGGGTGAGCAGTGATCACTTTACCATCCGAAGGAGGAATTATCTTCGTTGGGGTGATGAGGGTTGCTCAGGTGCCCCCAGCCTTCAATCCTTCTCTACCAGGTAGGCCCCAGAATGCCCCACACCCACCTCACTCCTTGGACTGGTGCACATTGTATGCAGACTCATCCATCCCCAAAAGTTCACTGGTGCTATTCTGGTGCCTAGGCAAGACCGTAGAGGATGGAAGGCCTGGCCTCAAAGAGCTTTGTGCCTGGTTGGGGGAAATGGAACTCATGCTTGGGAAATGACCATCGCGTGGTAGAACGTGAGCCTGACATTGAATCTGCCAGATTGGAATGGTTTGAGAAATTGGAAGCAAATGGGAGCTAGGATGATAGGGCAGGATTTGAGGCCAGGATTTGGGCTGGTAGAGGTGGGGAAAGTAGTCATGGAAGCATAAAATTGTCTCCTGCACAGAGCCCTTCCTTTTCCTCCTTTCCTGGCTTTTTCCTGCTGCAAAGGTCTTGGGCTTCTAGGAGCCCATGAAATCCCAGCCCAGAGTGCTCATACTTGAGAGCAGTGGACAGAGCCAGCTCCTACCCTGTATCACCATTCCTCCCCTGTCCTAACCATCCGTACTTGTTCCAGGCTCCGGAAGAGTGGTCAGCCCTGTACCTTTGATATTTTTTTGTTGTGTGGATTGGTTGTCTTGCTACATGTTCAGCAGATATCCAAAAATAAACTAAGGGAATTTAATATTATTGTGAAATAAAACATGATTAGCCTTGTGTTCAATTACCTACAGTTATTTTGCTGCATGACAATTAACTACTAGGTGGATGGTTTACATAAATCACTTCACATACAGCTGAAGTAAGCTTCTTGGGAGATTATTTTGTTTATCTTTTTTGTAATTTTCCACTCTATAGCAAAGGTATGGTGCTGAAATTTTCCCTGACACCCTATTCCAAACTCACTGACCCACAGAACGAATCATCCTATATCTAAGGACTCAGCACGTTGGGCTGTGCCACCTCACTTGAGAAATATAAGCCTATATATACAGCTGCTCCCAGTAGCCTAAAGCCTCAGGGAGGGGATGGGCCTGAAGCTGTTGTTGCTGATGGGTGGTTCAGAGGATCCTGGGCCTACCATGCTGCTGAGAGGAAGGAAAGTGAGTACATGATGACCCTCTGGATCTGGGGCTGTTTCTAGACTTGGATCATAGGGAAGGAGAGAAGAGAAGAAGAAGAGGTAGAGGAGGACACTTTTGACTTGGGATAAGTAGATAAACACCAGGTTCCCAGAACAGCTATTCAGGATGGAAGGAAGAGAACCTGTGAGATGCTCTAACTCTGCATTAGCTAGCTATTGCAACCAATAAACCACTCCTAAAACTCAGTGGATTAAGACTAGGATAATTTATCCTTGCTCATGTATCTTCAGGACATCTAGGGGTCACTTGATCTAGGCTGGGCTCAGAGGGGCTTGGCTCCATGACACAGGTTGGGTTCAGGTCTATTCAGTGTGTCTGTCAGGCTCCATGGACCAGCATGCTAGCACAAGAGGATCAAGCAGAGACATATGATGCCTCCTAGGTCCTGGGCCTAGAGCTGGCACACTATCTCTCCTGCCAACATTGGCCAAAATTGATGAAGCACATCAACCCACAGATTCTAGAAGCAAGCAAATCTCACACAGAGTAAAAGCAGAATCAAATGAGACGGGCACTTCACCTCTGTAGTCTTTCCAAAAGCCCATGACCCCAGTCTAATTGTGAGAAAAACATCAGACAAACCCAGATTGTGGGACATCCTACAGGATACCTGACCAGTGTTCCTCTAAAGTATCAATATCATGAAAAATAAGGAAGGACTGAGGAACTCATAGACTAGCTGGGAATGTGACAGGGACTTCTGGAAGGTGAGACATCCATAGGGATTTGATAAGCTCTTCATGTTCCTGGGTTGACTGGAGGCTGTGAAAATGCTCATCAGGGACCAGATTGGGCCTAAGCCACATAAACGTCCCTGGCTGATGGAGCCTGACACACGTGCAGAGGATATACAAGAGAGACATGCAAAGAAATAAGAAAATGTGAACCATGCTTAGGAAATAAAATGCAAATGCAGTCAATAGAAACTTTCTCTCCGTGTCCCCAGATATTTAATTTAGCAGATGAGACATCAAGCAGCTAATATAAGTATGTCCAAAGAAGTAGAGAATTTAAGGAAAATACGGTGACAATGACTCAATGAATAGAGAATCTCAATAAAATTTTAAAAAGAACAAACAGAAATTCTGGAGTTGAAAAGTACAATAACTGAAAGGAAAAATTTGCTAGAGTGGCTCAGTAGCAGATTTGAGATGGCAGAAGAACAAATCAGTGAACTTTAAGATATATCAATAATTATCCAATCTGAAGAAGAAAAAAAGATTGAAAAAAAAATTAACAAAAGTCTCAGAGACCTGGGGGAGGGGGCAGAGCAAGATCCCAGTCACACCCCCAGCAACTAACACACTGAACAACAAATAAAAACAAGCACAAACTGAGATCACAGAACTCTGGATGGCAGCTGAGGTGTTGGAGAGTTGGGGTGAGTCCAGAAGTGAGAGAGAGGACGAGCGGGGATGACACAAAAGCTGGTAAAGCTACCTGCTAACATTGGGAGTGCTCTCTCATTGCAGCCATTTTGGAATGGAGCTGGGTAACACCCCAATCAGGGAACACAGAAAAGGAGTTAATCTGAGGAAGCTGTAGCCCAATTTTTTTTAAGGCAGCACAAATTGGTCCTGGGAGTTAGTGGGCCATACAATTGAGAGGGGGCAAAGGGAGGAGACTGTGGTGTTGTGAGAGACTGCTGTTGAATCTCACTGAGGCCTGAGACAGATAGGCACTAGGATCGGGAGGAACAGCAGGGCAGCAGGGTGAGGGGGATACTTCAGACTGATGGGGCAACACAGAAGGAAACAGCCCACAGCGGGACACTGTGGGAAAGCCTGTGCAGGGGTGCCAATGAGGGAAAGACTTAGAGAGCCCCCCACCTTCACCATAGGAAAGTCACGCCCCACTGCTTACATCAGTGTCTGAAAACAGCAAATACCCCCCACCCTGCACAAGTGTATTGAATTCCAGAGATCAAGCATCCAGAACTTGTCAGTCAGCACTGAAAAAAACCTAAGGATAAGAGTGCCCTCAACTGGTTCTCAGGAGAAGATACCAAGCCTGCTGCCACTGGGTCAATTCTGACTCATAGAGACCCTGTGGGGCTGAGTGGAGCTGTCTTGTGGGGTTCCCAGCCTGTGAGTCTTTGTGGAGGAGGACTACTGCATCTTTGTCTCACAGAGCAGCTGGTGGGTGCTGGCCCTGGCCTTTTGGTTGGCAGTTGGGTGCTTGGCCCCTGTAGCACCAGGGCATTGAATCAGGAAAATTTCCCACAAAAACCAGAATACAAAATTTAAAGTATAGAAACAAAGATAGCAAAATGGTCCAGGTTTGACAAAAAATAGTAAAATAAACAAAATCACAAGAGAAGAAGGACCAGTCAAAAGCAAAACATGAAGAAGAGGAAATTTCTCCTATGGAGGCCAGAATAATGCAAAGAATTGATAATTTTCAGAATATGGTGATAAATATGTTTTAAAAAAAGCAAAAAGCACACAGAAAACAAAGTAGCAGAAATCAGGAAACAAATGGAGGAACAAGATGAGAGACCCAACATGGAAACTGAAAATATTAAACAAACAAAGAGAACTACTGAAACTGACGAATAAAACAACTGAATTAGAAAAAGCAAGAGAAACACTCAAAAATAGAGTCGAACAGACAGAAGATAGAATAAATGAATTAGAAGATAAAATAACTGAACTATCAAGTCTCCAGAGAAACAAGAGAAAAAAAATCAAAAAAGAGCAAATAAACCCAAAAGGAAATATGGGATTGAATTAATAAATCTAACAGAATTATCAGAATTCCAGAGCACCATGACAACAACAAAGGCATAGAATAAAAATGATTTTCCAAGAGATAGAATTTCCCAGATCTGACCTGAAAACTGAGCTTGCAAATACAGGAAGCTACATGAACCCCAATTAAAAGAGACATAAAAAGATAAACTCCATGCCATAGCCTAATAAAACCCTTGAAAACCAAAGCAAGGAAAGAATTCTGAAAGCAGCAAAGAAAAATGCAATGTGATATATCTAGGGGCTTTCAGAAGAATCAGTGCAGATTTCTCCCCAGAAACTCTAGAGGCCAGAAGACAATGGAACAGCACACATAAAATACTTAAAGAAAACAATCGCCAAGCAAGAATTCTTTGCCTAGCAAAACTGTCATTCAAAAACAAGGGGGAAATCAAGACATCCCCAAACAAAAAGGAGCTCTGGGAATTTGCCACCACCAGACCAGCTATGCAAGCATTACTCAAGGGAGCACTCCAAATGTAAAGGCAAACATTAAATAAATACTCATATCTATACATGAAAAAAAAAAAAGAGAGAGATCTCCAAAAAATGCAACAACATGGGCAATCATAAGAATATTTTCAGAGAATAAACTCAATAATCAAATCCCGCAAACAATACAATGTCAAGTTTGTAAGAAATAAGTACAAAGTAAACTTATTGAATACAGGTTGTATACTGATGTTAATGGAGACACACTAACAGAAATGGGCAAGTGAGGAGCATATCAGGAATATATTTATTATGTTAAGTTTGTATGTTAACTGTTGTTCATATGTTAAATATTGTTGCAATTGGAAGTTGTGTAAGGTAACATATGTGGTAACCACTAAGAAATCACCAAGAGGAAACATTCAGAAGAAAAGACGGAAGTTAGTAAATAGGCTCATCACAAAAAAGCAGCCAAATACAAACAAAAAACAGAAAAATCAGAGTAAAAAAACAAAGAAGATATGAAACACTGAATAAATAAACAGTGAAATGAGTGAGGTAGACACTTCATTTTCAGTAATAACATTAACTGTAAATGGTGTCAACACCCCATGAAAAAGGCAGAGAGTGGCTGAATGGATAAAAAAAACATGATCCATCCTTTTGCTCTCTACAAGAAACAGACTTTAGACATAAGGATATAAACAGACTGAAAATAAAAGGAAGGAGAAAAATAGTCCATGCAATCAGTAAACAGAAAAGAGCAGGGGTGGCCATAATGATAGCATATAAAATAGACTTTAAATTAAAATCTATTACAAGAAATAAAGAAGGACATTATATAATAATAAGAGGGTCAATCCAGCAAGAAGACATAACAATTATAAATATATATGTACCTACCAGCAATGCTCCAAAATACATGAAGCAAATACTAATATGAAAGGAGAAATAGACAACTTCATAGTAATAAGTAGGGGACCGTATGCTAGGACATAAAACAAGTCTCAACAAATCTAAAAAATATTGAAATCATACAAAGCATCATCTCTGACCATAATGGTATGAAGCTAGAAATCAACAACAGGAAAAATAAGGAAAATAAATAAGTACATAGAAATGAAATAATACACTGCTAAAAACCTATTGGGTTATAGAAGAAATCAAAAGTGAAACTTAAAAATTCCTAGAATCAAATTAAAATGAAAATGCAACATATCAAAACCATTGGGACACAGCAAAAGTAGTACTCAGAGGAAAATTTATAGCAGTAAATGCCTACATTAAAAAAGAAGAAAGATCCAAAATCATTAACTTAAACCACCAGCATGAATGGATAGAAAAAGAAGAGCAAAAGAAGCCAAAAGCTACCAGAATAAAACAAAATAATAAAGATCAGGGCAGAAATAAATGAAACAAAAAATAGAAAGAATCAGCAAGACCAGAAGTTGGTTCTTTGAAAGCATCAATAAAATAGACAGACCACTGGCTAGACTGACAAAAGGAAAAAAAAAAAAAAACAGAAGAGGC